TAACAATGGAGATTTTATTAATTAAAATTCGTGAATCATCTATAATAAAGGGAATAAATGTGAATAAGAATGATTATAGGTTAAGGGCCTTTGCTGACGATCTGGTGCTGACATTAACTCAGCCGATAGATTCGGTGATTGATTTGGTGGAAATTATTGCTCAGTATGGGAAAGTTTCTGGTTTTAAGGTAAATAATAACAAGACTAAAATATTACCGAAAAATATGTCTATGAAGGATAAAGATGATCTAGTTAAATTGACAGGTTTTGAAATAGTTAAAAAGGTAAAATATTTGGGAGTTTATATTACAGCTTCTAATGTTAAATTGTATAAAAATAATTATGAGACATTATGGGTAAAAGTGCAAAAGGATTTAAATGACTGGAAAAAATTACAATTATCTCTGCTGGGGAGAATTTCAGCAGTCAAAATGAATATTCTTCCAAAATTTCTTTTCTTGTTTCAAATGATACCTATTTTGAAAAAAGATGCTAATTTGGAGGATTGGCAGAAGGGGATAAATAAGTTTATATGGGCGGGCAAAAAGCCAAGAGTTAAGTTTAAGATCATGCAAGATGCACGGGAAAGAGGAGGACTTAAGGCGCCGAATTTAAAATTATATTATGACGCGGTGGCTTTAACATTGATTAATGACTGGTTTAATTTAACAAATAGAAATATACTTATACTTGAGGGATGGGACTTATTATTTGGTTGGCATGCTTATTTGATTTATAATAAAAAAGTAGATCAAGTTTTCAAAGCTCACATTTTAAGAAGTGCTTTATTACGAGTTTGGAAGAAATATTATTATAGATTAAATTATAAAATTCCCATTTGGGCGATTCCAGGACAGGTGATAGAGGGGGTATCTAGAGGAGTTAATTTGGATAATATTACTTATAGGGAATTACTTAGTTTGGTAGGACAGGATTGGCAAATTAAATCCTTAGCGGATTTGAAACAAGAAAATATTGTATATTCCTGGTTTTATTATAATCAATTGTTAATGAGGTGGAGTTTAGATCAGAAGGTTGGTATTACTTTGGAGGATGTGAATTTGATCAAACAAATTAAAGATCCAACCCGAGCCCATATAAAGAGAATTTATAATGCTTTGATTGAATTGGATTCTGAAATGGAACTAGTTAAAGACAGTATGATAAAATGGGCTCAAAATATTCAAGAATCGATTTCATTGGATACATGGGAGACAATTTGGGTTAAAAATGTAAAATTTACTCAAGCCCAAAATTTAAGAGAAAATTTTTATAAGATGTTTTATAGGTGGCATTTGGATCCTCAAAAATTGTCATGCATGTATCCTAATTTACAGCCCAAATGTTGGAGATGTGGAAGTTTAGATGCAACTTATTTTCATATTTGGTGGACGTGTAGGTAAATAAAAGCATTTTGGATCAAGGTTTGGTGGAATATTCAAAATATTTTTAAGAAAAAGATAAAGTTTACACGGCAGTTATTTTTATTAGGTATTATGGGAGATTTGGATGCTAAAGAAATGAATCTGATGTTAAATCTTATAACAGCTGCAAGACTATTGGTAGCTCAAAACTGGAAGACGGATCGTTTGCCTACGGTAGAAGAATGGTCTCTTAAAGTGTCAAATTTAGCAGAAATGGCTAAGATTTCTGCTTATTTAAAGGATCAATCACAGGAAAGATATATTTTGGTTTGGAGAAGATGGATAGATTATATTCAGAATAAATATGGGACTGAAAAGTTCCATTTGGTGTTTGAGTAAATTTTACAGTATTGTTATTGTGAATATTTTATTATATTTTTTATTATATTTTATTATATTGATATTATTTTGAGTAGTAATTTTGTTTAATAATTAAGTTGATTATTTGTTTACTATTGTGTTTAATTTTAAATTATCTAAATTTATTTTAAAAGGGAGTTAAAGTGTGTTATAGATTTGGTTACATAATTAGTTGGATAATGTTACTTAGATTATGATTAATATATTTGTAACCCTGTGAACAGCTCTGAGAAGTGGGGGGGTGGGGGGTTTTGGGCGTTTTGGGGGGCGGGCAAGGGGGTTTATTTTGTAAATGTTATAAAACTTTTAATTAAAAAAAAAAGTTTCAACCCCATGCCAGAATTAACCCCAATGCTGGACGGAGTGTTCTGTTTTCTGCTGGGTTCAGTATTGAAGAGGCAGGAGTAGTCAACAGGTACTTTTTTTATTGAAGACAAAACAGAACTCAAACAAAGATGGCTCTGCCCCTATTTATACATTCAGCTTGGGGTGGTGTCAGCCAATGAATGCACCATATTCTCCCGCTTAAATGCATACTAATCAGCCTTGTAGACAGCAAGTCTGGCTAGCAGGCCACGTGGTCTGCCAATGGTTCCAGTGCAGCTCCCTGCACCTGTTCCATAAGTTAAGCTCGGTACATTACACCCCTCCTCTCCTGGTTCTTTAACACATACACAATATTTCTTGTTGTTCGATATTACACATGTCTCACAAGATACACAAAGACATTCAATGGTACAAGGGCCTTACAATTCACTGTCAATATTCAAAATACATAACGTTACAGGTCATAAAAAGACACAACATTAAAGTACTTAGGCATTCAAAGTTCCAAGAACTTACATAAGCATTTTAGTTTGCAATAAAAATACATAAGCATTTTAGGTTTGCAGTCACAAAAACCTCACGTAGTCCTTTAGAAACTTTGGTAGGCCTTTCGCCCGAATGTCTCAGAGGTGCTGCTAGCTCCCAATCTGCAAGCTTGCCTGCCAGGCTCGGCAGACCGGGGCAGTGTGATCCGTTCGATATGGGTGAAGCCAGTTTGTGAAGGCTGGCCTGTTCCGGTAGGCCCGAGCCAGAGTTCCGCGGCAGCGAAGAATCCACAGGTTCGGCGTGAAAAGCCGATTGAGAGCAATGTCCCGTTGGCACAGTGCCTGAGTTAGGAGCAGCCTTGTTGGCAAAACCCCGGTTCGGCAATCACATTGTTCTGCTTTCGTTGAGAGTCTCAGATTCACGATCACGATCGTGATCCTCCTCCCCCCCGAGAGCAGAGTCAGGAGCAGAAGAGTGGCATGGTAACCTCCAATGCAGCTGGTCAATGTGCCTGCGGACCACACGACCATCTTTCAGGGCCACTTCGTATGAGAGCAGCCCTGACACCTTGCAAACCACAGCTACCACCCGCATTGCCCCTGGTCCATAGTTGCACACCCAAACCGGATCACCCACTTGCAAGTGCCTCGGTGTCTTAGGCTGCTGCACTTGTGATGCAACCCTGTCAGGGTGTAAGCGATCCAGCTTTGTGATCAGATGGCAACCCCATCTGAGCTCAGCTGGGCTTTTGCCCGTAGACATGCAAGGCGTTGTGCGTTGGCAGAGGAGGAAATCTGCTAACCTGTGATGCCAGTTTCCATGGGTTATCCTTTTCAAGGATTCCTTTGTTGTGTGAACCATGCGTTCCACTTGGCCATTAGAGGCCAGGTGAAAAGGAGCTGATGTGGCATGCCTAATCATATTTGCCCTTAAAAAGGACTGAACCTCCGAGGAAGTAAATTGAGCTCCGTTGTCGGAGACGATGACATCTGGGAGGCCATGCGTTGCAAAGATGCCCCTCAAAACCTGGATGGTTCTGGCAGTCATCGTAGTGGACACTGGAACGTCCTCCAGCCACTTAGAGTGACTGTCCACAACAATGAGGAAGAGTTGCCCCTGAAAGGGGCCAGCGAAGTCGATGTGAATTCTCGACCAAGGGGCTTGTGGCATTTCTGGCCAGGACTGCTGGCAAATGTGACACTTGTGGACCTGGGCCTCGATGTCTTTATCGAGTCCAGGCCACCAGAGGTAGCTACGTGCAAGCGCCTTCATCCGGACTATTCCCGGATGTCCCTCATGCAGAGAGTCAAGGACTCTAGTCCTCAGTGAGGTCGTGATTACTACCCTGCTGCCCCACAGGATACAACCCTTAAAGGTGGATAACTCATGCTTCCTTTTCCAGAAACTCTGGAAGTTAGCACCAGGACACGTGTCCGGCCATCTAGTAAGCACCCATTTCAACACGTGAATTAACGTGTTGTCAGTAGCCGTTTCTGCAGCAACATCCCCTGCATTGAGGGGAGACTCCGGCAAATCCTGGATAGACAAGATCTGGTTGGCCGGTGCAGGATCTGGCTCTAATTGCTTTAAAGACAACTTACTAAGGCTATCTGCATGGCCCATTTCTCTACCCAGTTTGTGAACCAGGCAATAATCATAAGCAGATAGGAATATTGACCACCTCAACATTCTAGGGGAGATGATTTGGGGTGTCTGTTTGTTGGTAGTGAACAACCCCAGAAGCGGCTTGTGGTCAGTGAAGACCGTGAAATGGCGGCCATACAAAAAATCGTGAAACTTCTTGATGCCAGCCACAATGGCCAATGTCTCCCTATCTATTTGCATGTAATTGCGTTCAGCAGCAGAAAGAGTCCTGGAGTTGTGTCCCATCAGCACTGAGGTTACTTAAGACAGCCCCAATCCCATATGGGGATGAGTCGCATGCTATGCTGACTGGCAACTGCTCATTAAAATGAGCCAACACTGCATTAGAAGACAACAATGCTTTAACTGCAGCAAAACCCCTCTCGTGGACACTTGTCCACTTCCATGGAGCCTGTTTGTCCAAGAGCCAGTGTAATGGCCCTGCCACTGTGGCCTTGTGGGGGAGGAAAGCATGGTAGAAATTAAGGAGTCCCAGGAAGGCTTGAAGCTCTCCCTTCGTTTTGGGACTGGGTGCCTGCTGAATTGCTTTGAGCTTGGATTTAGCAGGATGGATGCCTTCGGCATCTATACAAAACCCCAGGAATTCTGTGGAAGTGACTCCAATTTTGCATTTCTCCTGTTTGAGCTTCAGCCCCGCTTCGCGGAAACACCATAATACGGCCCGGAGCCTGTCAGACAGGTTTTTGATTGATTCCCCAGCTATGAGGACATCATCGAAATATGGGCATATACCCGGAATGTTGCGGAGCGTGTGTTCCATCATGCTCTGAAAGATGCCAGGGGCTACATTCACTTCGAACTGTAGCCTTCGCACTTTGAAGGCTCCCCAGTGAGTCACAATGGTTTGGGCCTCAGCTGTGTCATCGTCCACTGGCAGCTGCTGATAGGCCTGAGCCAAATCTAATTTGGCAAAAATGCGACCTCCCTGTAGAGACGCCAGAATATGGCTTACTACAGGAGTGCTGCTGGAGAGCTTTGTTTAATGTGCATTTATAGTCAGCACAAATGCAGACTTCCACGTTGGCCTTAAGTGGCGTGACAATGGGAGTTTCCCATGGACTGCTATCCACCGGTTCCAAAATGCCTTGCTCCAACAATTTGTCCAGCTCAGCATTTATTCTCTGCTTAAGAGCAAAGGGCACCTGACGAGGCTTAATCCTGATTGGTGCTATGGAGGGATCTAACCTTAGAGCAATTGGAGGCCCTTTGTATGCCCCTAGGTCTGGGCTGAGAACATCAGCAAACTCTTTACACACCTCCAAAAGGCTCGCCGTTTGCAAACTGTTTAACCCAGTCACCTGAATTCCTAAAGCATCAAACCAATTGAGTCCAATGAGACTCGTGTGGTTTCCCTCAACAACTATGATGTCCAAGGGGCCCTCGAAATCCCTGAACTGCACCCCGAGTGTGGCCTCCCCTTTGACGCTGACCCGGGAATTCTGGAAATCGGTTAAGACAAGATTTGACGGCCTGAGCTTAACTCTTTGGCCGCTTCTACAACAAATCTGCTTAAGTGTTCTCTGGGAGATTATTGATAGAGCTGAACCCGTGTCCAGCTCCATGTCTGAAGGAACCCCTTGCAGCTTGACTTCGAGGTGTAATTTCTTCTTGAGTGGGTGATGGGCGCCTGTCCTAAATACGCTCCTTCTACTCGCACAAAAACCCACTCTGTTCTGACTGGGGACCCCGGTACCTTTCCGAGGCAACTCTTCCAATGGCTGCTGTGGACAGGGTTGCTATAAGCTATCCCCTCCACTCTCCTCTAGCCCGAGAAGCCTGGAAGGGAAACCACCATTGCAGCCTTCCAGATGAAGCCACCTCAGAGTGGCCCCTGTGAGCCTCACCCACCATCTTTCCACACCCACCATGAGCAACCTGGCCAAGGAGAGCGAGCATAGCAGCAGCAGCCTCGAGGAGGAGGTAAACGCGGCCAGGCACCCCCTCGGGGAAGTGGGGCTGGGCTGGGCTGCAGGGCCCCAGTGCCCAGGAGCTCAAGGGCTAGGCACTTGCCCTCTGCTGCCCAGGACTCCAGGCAGCCCCACTGCCATCTGGGGCTCCTCCACATGGCTTTTGAGGGCAACCATAATGCTGATGCGGCCCTCAATGAAACTGAGTTTGACACCCATGATGTAGCATTTAAGGAATTGTTCTAGGATGCGACTCACACATTCACAGCCTCCATTCATTTGGGGATGATGGGAGGAGCTAAGCCCTTGGGTGGTACCTAGTATTTTCAGGAATTTGTGCCAACATTGAGAGGTGAATTGAATGCCATTGCCTAAGATGTTTCATTTGGGGGCATCATGGAGTCTATATACATGTTGCCAGAAAAGTTTAGCCAATGTGCGTGCTGAGGGGATTTGGGAGCATGGCATGAAGTGCACCTGTTTAGAGAGCAGGTCAGTAATACTATATTTCCAAAGCTTTTTGGTAACTCTGCTATAAAGTCCATGGAAATTTATTTCCAAGGTGCTTGCGGTTTTGTTACTGGTTGAAGGAGCCCTGGGGTTTTCCCTAGTCCTCCTTTGGCTAAAGAACAGACTTTAAGACTTTAAGACTACAGTACAGTGAGATGTAATTTATGGAAACCATACCAGATCAGTCATCACAGAGGTCAACAAGGATCATCCCATATGTTGGAGTTCCTGGACATTTGGTGACCAATGAGTAATTGGCTGAGCAACCTGGGCCAGCATCTGCAGGACTACTGCAAAGGAAGGTGTTTACCCATTGCAGATATTCAAGAATTGAAAAGAAAGAAATAATGCTGTATTATTACAAATTGGATTACAAGTCCAAAGAGAAGACAATATCTGAAAAGAATGCATTAGTTCTATAAAGAACAACATCCAGAATCAGAAATAACAGGATAGAGGTGTAAGGACCCACCCCACTTTGCATCTTAAGAAGACAGAACTGTTGGAATATTTCTTCCAACAGGCATCTTTATTAAGAGAAGATGGTTGCAGACATTCTAGACAGGACCTGGGGCCCAAGCCCTACGGTTCAAGGTTTTAAGTGTTCCCAAGCAGCCCCCCACCCCACCGTCCTTCCAGCGACAATCCCAGGCATTACATTTCCACCCCCTTTTCCTCACGGCCGGCGGAAGGGAAACTTCAGAGAGGAGTAGATGAAAGTTGATGGGCCATATTGTTATGATCAGTCCTTTTGGTGGGATCCACATTCAGTCCCTTTGAAGTTGTAAGGAAGGAATTGAGAGCCATAAAACCCCTTTGCTTATCCCCCTTCCCCTTCGTAGTATGACAGAATCCAGAGAGGGCAGAAATGGAGTTTTCCATAGTTGATAACTAGAGATGAAATATAATTGGATTCTGACATCATGCCCCCTTAAAAATAAGAGAGATCCACCTGAAAAGAAAACAAAACAGGTATAAAAGTTAGTCTGGCTTGTTAGGATACTCCGTGTGAAACCTCTTTAATAGCTTCGGGGCTCTGACATGACGTTTATGGACCCACTCGTTTTGTTAGGCAGGGAGGTGTTTCCATGCTACTAGGTACTGAGTCGCTCCATGATATCTCCTAGAATCTAGGATTTCCTTTATTTTGAAGTGCTGTTCGCCCTCCACCATGATTGGAGGTGGTGGTGGTGGGGATTTTTGGCCGTAACAATGACTGATGCTCTCTTTTCAGCAAACTGCAATGAAAAATTGGGTGTATTTGCCTGAGATTTTTGGGTAATTCTAATTCTACTGTTACTGGGTTTATGATTCTTTTAATTGGAAAAGGCCCTATATATTTTGGTCCACGTTTTTTACAGGGTTGTAGGGACTTTAGGTATTTTGTAGATAAGTAGGCTCAACCCTTTTTTTTATCGGCTTGTGCTTTGTATGCCTGCCTAGCTTCATCTAGTGCTTTTCTAACTATTGGCCAGGTGTTTTGTAATTGTTCCATCCATTTTTTCAGTGATGGGATCACCGGTTCGTTTGGGGTTAATTCTGGCATGGGGTTGAAACTTTGACCGGTGGCTATTTGAAAAGGAGTGTAACCTGTGCTGGAGTGGACTGCATTATTGGAGTGGACTGCACTATTCTTTTCCCACTTGCCTTTCTTTCCAATGCCCATTGACCACCGAGGTTTGTGGTCCCGTGTCTCCACCACCTCTTCTCCTGAGGAATCTGACCTCTCAGATCCCGACAACTGGCAGGGTTTCAGTCAGGGCAGTGGCTCCCTTTCCGGGGAGTTTTCTCCCTTCCCTGCTCCGTCGTCTGATATGATAATTTTTGCAAAGTCCCCCGGCAAGGTTCTCCCTTCCAGGTGGACTAATTCTGCAGATCCTGTCTAATGTAAGGACCTACCCCACTTTGCATCTTAAGAAGACAGAACTCTTGGAATTTTTCTTCCAACAGGCATCTTTATTAAGAGAAGATGGTTTCAGGCATTCTAGACAAGACCTGGAGCCCAAGCCCTACGGTTCAAGGTTTTAAGTGTTCCCAAGCAGCCCCCCCACCGTCCTTCCAGCGACAATCCCAGGCGTTACATTTCCACCCCCTTTTCCTCACGGCTGGCAGAAGGGAAACTTCAGAGAGGAGTAGATGAAAGCTGATGGGCCATATTGTTATGATCAGTCCTTTTGGTGGGATCCACATTCAGTCCCTTTGAAGTTGTAAGGAAGGAATTGAGAGCCATAAAACCCCTTTGCTTATCCCCCTTCCCCTTCGTAGTATGACAGAATCCAGAGAGGGCAGAAATGGAGTTTTCCATAGTTGATAACTAGAGATGAAATATAATTGGATTCTGACAAGAGGGTAGCCAACCAACACCAACTTATAATATAAAATAAAGTATTCATAGAAGTGGAACTGGAAGAACTGCAAAGGTCTACCCAGGGCAAAGAAATCAAAGCCTAGCCTGAAGTAGCTCAGACTGTAGAGGTAAACCAGGGGAGTCAGCAGTTGAGAAACCATTGAATATTTTCATTCCCAAACTTGATACCCTCCTCTGCCTCAAAAAGGACAACACCTTTTAACTAAAGAAGTAGAAGAACTAAAACAAAGAATAACTGAGCCTCTATAAAAGCACAACACAACTGCCTGCATTGAACCTTGTTCCAAAGAAACAGCTAGTGGAAGTATTGAATACCTAGGATGCAAAATCAACAAATAAGAAAAAAAAGTCAAACAGTGCATCACCAGAATGGAAGATCAGGTTAGAAAATAAGATTAGCAAGTTAAGATCAGATGCAAGCAAGCTAGAACAGATAAAAAAAAAGAAGCTGAAGAACAAAAGGACCAAAGAATATCTAATCAAAAAATATCACCTAGAAATAAGGAAGATTAAGGAAGTGTAGAAAATAATAAAGCAGCAAATAACATCTATAGCCAAGAAGATCTGCAGATATGAAGTGTTATGTACTTAGCTAATTCATAAGGTCTGTTATAAAAAATGGTTAACTGATTGTTCTATTTGAATTATAGACTGCCTGTCTGTATAACTTTAAGCCTTTTGTTTTAGGCGGGAATGAGTACTTTAAACTGATTGGTCGCTGCTTAGCAGCGGTTCGTATAAATATAAGTCAAGCAGCTGCTAGAGCTTGCTTCTGTGAGAACCTAATAAAGAGCTGTTATTTCAACTCTGTGTCTTCAATGCCTCACTGTTCCCACTACACAACAGTGGCGACAAAGGTGGGATTATGCTACTAGGAGGAAAGAGCTAAGTCACTAAGTGCCTGGTTGGAACTGTGTTCCCCCCTTCTGCCTGCCAGTATGCAAACGCTGGAGGTAGCACATTCCTTGGGATCCATCCCTAGGAAACNTTGCTGAATTTGTGGCCGCCTTACATCAAGTGTCCTGGCTCTGCGAATTTCCTGACATAGAGGACCGGCTCCAGGACCGACTGGTATGTGGCCTGAGGAGCAGAGACTTACAGCAGAGGCTGTTTGCAAAAGAAACCCTGACATTCCAGGAAGCACTAAAAGAAGTGATGGCAGAAGAGGCCGCAGGTGAAGCCGTCAAGGCTTTACATCCCTGAAAGAATTTCCCCAGCCAGATGGTAGTGCATCATGAAGAGTCAGAGAGAACAGAAGACCCAGACATTGAGATCGACTGGGTGCAGAAGATCCCAGAAAGAAGGCAGTGGCCGCTTGACAAGGCAGCTGTCAAACGCTGCTAATATTGAATATTCTTGCTTGGACAAAATATGCAGAACTGTCTGGCACTTTTAGAGTTAACTCAGATGAGAATGGAGAGAGAGCGAGCAATTCACACAGGCTTCAGAAGGAAGTGAACCTTTGCCCCCCCAGGCTGGTTGGAGAACATGACTCATGACAGCAAAAGAGGGAGGGAAAATGCTAGCAAAAATAACTGCTTTAGGGTGGAGACTTCAAATCTTGGCATCCATCCATGATGTGCCGACAATCTGTTATACTATTAATAAAGGCTTTTAGGATAAACAATGCCTGGAAGTTCTTTGAAGTGTTTCATTAGTCGGAACCTTGACAACATGCCAAAATCTACAATTTTTTTAAACCAATTAAGGGGTCTCGGGCCCCGGTCACTATTCCTAAACTAAAGGATAGACTGACAAAGATTCAGGGAAGATCTCATTATGGAATAAGAAAGATTTCCTGAGGCCAGCACCATGGCAGCAACAGCTTCCCCAAAGGGGGGGAGTGACAGCCGGCAAACCGGGGGAGGGAGAACTCTGGCAGATCTCCCAGCTGGGAGCAAAGACTTCAAAAGCAGAATGGTGGAGAGCTAATGAATCGCCTGCCACTCAAGCCTTGGGTGAGTCACTGGAAAGATTTCAAAACCCAGAGGTGAAAAGCAGAGATCAATTCTTGCAGAGAGGAGCCAATTCCTGCCCTTCCATTGCAGATCAGAAAGCCTTTCAGATCCTGTCTTCCCCTGCCAGGGACTCCAGCCCTGAAGAGAGAGGAAATCCCAGTCTGAGGCCTCTGAAGCAATGAGGAGTTTGGCAAACCCCAGCAGGTAGATGTTCCACGACCTCTGAACTTGCCACAGCTAATAGAGGCCTTGCAACAGTTTGGGGTGGTGCAGAAGCCAGGAGATCAGCAGCTGGTGGGAGAACGGCCACAGCAAGGAGATTGGCCATAGCCCCCAAACAT